TGAATGGAGCAAGGGAGAGGAGGAAGGATGAGTATGTAACAAATGTACCAGAAACGCCAACAGAATGTCAAGAAATATCAATATAGAATAGAACACCAGTAAAATGACACTATAGCACCATCCTGCTCTTCACCCATACCCGCTTTCTGCAGTGACAGGACAGGGTTTGCCAAAGTCATGTGTTTTCTGTTCATTTTAATTTATTGTGTTCGCGGAATGGTTTTCTCAGTGTTCACTGCCAAAAACGTATTTTCTTCACTTTCCTGGACCGATGCCTTTAAGATCCCTCTGTTCCAATTTTAGCGATGTGTTCCTGAGGCTCTCTCTAAATGTGGTTATCTTGCCAAGCAGTCGCTGGGTCCACGCAGGTTCTTCCCATGTAGGTTTTACCACTGCTGTTCTCCTCAAAACACAAAGGGCTTTTTACCACTCATTTCTCATCACTGAGACTGCGACTTTGCTGGAATGTTACGTTTTGTATTGAGCAACCATGCAGAAACATTGTCTGCATACAGAAAAGAAAGGAGAGCCGTACGCATGTATAACGACAATTTATATTCCCAAGTCTTAAGCAGTGGTTAGAACATCTGCATCCCTATGCCTGTTTTGAAAATCCCAGTGCTCTTTTCTAAATGATTAATTCGATCACATGTGTTTATTTATTGGTATATCCTTCTGTGTGGAACTTGCGTTAGACAGGCTGTGTACAGAGTCCTGAGCTGTGCTAGAGCATGAGCTGCGTGCTAGACAACCTTGGTTACCCCATCCATTAGTGAAGGATGCTGTCCAACCCACTACAGTCCCATCTAACAGCACAATGAAAAGGAGCAGCTTGCTCAGCAGCGTCAGGTGGAGTCAAAGATAATTGTTTCATGCTCCATAACACAGTTTAGGTTTGTTGTTTATCAGGGAAAGATTTATTTAGCCCCTAGTGCACCCAGTGGTATTCTGCCCAAGCGTAAAATCAGAAACGAACTCAAGACCAATTATAAAAATATTATTTCTAGCGTATAACTTCAGTTTAACATGATACTCAAGACAGAGGTGCTTCTAGGGCACCTACCTTCTGATAAGGACCTCTTTGCATCTGGTGGAGAACTGTTAGTAAAGCAGCTCTTGAGGGTTCTCTTCAGTATGTGGTAGCTGAGTGGGAATCGTTACACTTCCCAAGCTGAAGTGTCTTCTTGTAGACCAAGTGCAAAATGTTTCCTTGCCCATAGGTAAGACATCCATCAATACAGTGCGTAACGCTGAGTACGAAATGCTAACCCGCAAAGGATTGCGGCCACTGGTTGCAGGAGAGCCATGGATGAAAGTCCTCAGTCCTGCTTTTGACCTAACAAGGGTGTAACTCAGTAGTAATTCTACTAAAATATTTTTTTTTTATTCGGAAAAGTACATTTCAGCAGTGTAAAGGAACTTAAAATCAGAACCCATGGGGCAGGAGTCCTCTCAAATCTCATACTTCTTCAGCAACTATAAAGACGTATCTTCACCTCTTTATGTTCTGGATGCCTCCCCTGTGGCACACAGGTATTTTGAAGAACTTTGTGTTAATGTTCAGTAACTTGTT